TATCATCATTATTGTTATTATTCTTTATCTCCGCATTATTAATATATCTATCTTCTAGAAGAAAAAAGAATTTCATGAATATTCCCACGATTGGGTTCCCCCCCCCCCTCTAAAACCCTAATTATCCATAGAAACCCACACGTGACAAACACCTGAACAAACCTAACCATACCCCAATAAAAAGGAATCAGTCTATGTCTGTGCATGTGTATATGTCGCACATATGTACGCACACGTATACGTACATCTGTACTTATATGAACTAACGCACGTAGGCATATATATATATATATATGTCTTCATGACAAAATAAAAATGATTTCTGTTCTTCCCCGGGGGAAATTATCAAAAAAATATTTATTTTTCTATTTTACTTCGACATTTTCGTTAAAAAAAACTTCATTTCATCGACTGCCTTTGTAAAGTATTTATTTTTCATATTACCCTTCTATTTTTTTTATTGATGCTACGACTCATACGATCTGTGATCATGCAATCCGTACGACTGCGTATGCAATTTATACGATTCAATATAATTCATATAACTCATAATGACTCATGTGGTCTATATGATCATATAATTCATACAATTTTATATTTCAAATTAAATAATTATATACCATTAATATTATTCAATATTTTATTACCTTAAATTAATTACTGTTTTACCGTCTGAATTTTATTTTTTTTCGCTCTTTCTTTACACACTTGACGCTGATGATACTTATATTGAGAATATGAAATCATAATTTTAAATCAGTTGTTTCGAGTTTCCTTCTCACTTTGAAAATTGATAATTTCCTTTAAAATCGTATATTTTCTCTTAATCTCATTCAAAATGGTTTTTTTCTCGTGTTCTCTCTATTAAAATTTTGAATATTTGAAAGTTATGATCCATTTTCTAAAACCCATTTGTTAAATGACGTTTTTCTTTTGTTTTTCCATATTTTTATTTTATAAAAGGAATAGACGAGGGATTCGGATATTAAGAAGTTTGAATGACAAGTGAAAATGTTATTTTGCATAATTGTTTTTTTAGAAAATTAAGGTTTAGAAGGGGTAATGACTGAAGTAAAATTAAAATAGTATGCGGAGATATTTTTGCAATATTGACTTTGCATAGACAATTTCAAATCAAATGATAATATACATATATATATATATGTATGTATTGAAATGTTCAAATTGGCAAAGTCAAACATGCATTTATTGACTTGCTTTATCTGTAATCCTCCGTGCGAGTATATGTATTTAAATATGCTTATTTTATAATCCACCGTGTTATAAAACTGTTTCTTGAGAAGGTTTCATATCCGAATGATTTGCTTTCAAGTATATAGTTTCTAGTAACCACGTTACCTTTTTAATTTATACATTATGCAACAAATAATTTATGATAGATATTTTAAAATATTATTTATAATGCTAGTTATTTAGATTTAGGATGTAATTTTAAAAAATATAAATAGAATTGTGATATGTTTAATATAAATGAAATGTGAGAGTTATGAAATCGGAATAAATTTAATATAAAAAGAATATATATTATATTAATTTAGAATTTTTCCTTTGTATTTTATAGATAAAGATAAAGGGAATGTTCGAAAATATTATATTTTTATTTTCTTTTTTATTAATTTAAAATATAATTTTAATAATAAAAGTATAAATTAAATAGTAGATATATATCTAGGAAATAAATGTAATTTTTATTCAATTTTGTGCAACAACTATATTCATTCCAGAAAAAATAAATTCAAATTGACATGTTTGGAGTTAAATAATTTTCACCGCTTAACAAAGGCAAGTGTATAATATTTTGAACGGAACGAATTTTAGTTTCGGTAAAAGTTTCGATTTTCGGTGATATAAGAATATATAGAATATTTTTTTAACTATATTAATCATTTTAGTGACAAATAATCATACATTAGTCCTTGGGTTGACGTATTAAAATATAAAATAAGTATAACTAAATTGTTTTGATAATATTGTGAGAATATATGATATTTTAATTTATTATAGCATTTGTTTAATTAAAAGTATGTTGAAAGCTTTTAAGTAGAAAAATTAAAAAAGAAGTCTGTGTGAGGATACTGTGGCAATTGCGGCTCTTGTTTGCCACCGTCCGATTGAAAAGTCAGAGATGTCATTTTGCCCGTCTTTTTTTACTCCTTTTTTATATAATAAATTAAATAATTAACAAACAATAGAATAATGTGATTTCATATTTGACGTGTTACATTTATGTACAACCTATGTTTGACGATGTCGAGCATTTTTTTGGGTAATATACATACAAATTAGATTAATTTAAATTTGTATAAATTATATTTTTATCTATAAAAAAATATGTTCTTAATATAATTAGAATTTTAAAATTTATATTTTGTATTTCATGAAATCCTTATTACTATATATATAATGTGATATTGTATAAAAAATTCAAATTCTATTAGCAGAAATCGTTATCGGATATATTTCCTTGCAAAATTGTTGGAAGTCAGATTGTAAATCTGATTAATATTCACGAAAGAAAAATTTAACGAAATTGATTCTTTATAAAATTGTTGCCTGTTAATAAATTAATGTTTTAAGTAAAAGCGGGTTTGGTGCAATCGTTATTCACAGTTGGATGCATAGAAAATAATTTCTCTAAGAACATAGTTGAATGCCACGATTATATATATATATATATATATAGCTTTCTTTGTGTTAGAAAAATTATGTTTTAAAAAAAATCTAAACTTGAATAGTTCAATCGCCAAAATAGAATCAAAATATTTATCCTTTCTCGAATTCAAACATCGAATTTGAAACAGAAAGGTATATTCCAAATCATATTATTAGTTTTCAGTGTTCGAGATTAGTATATAAAACATTCGGTTATACAAAAAATATAAAAAAATAAATATGATTGGGTGTAAATGTAGACTTTAGATATCATTGAAATTATGGATATAATGTTAACTAAGAAATCAATATTAATTATTTGTATTTTTTGATAATTTTTTATATAAAAATAAATTATTTTCATCTTAATAGTTAATACAACAAGAAGAAAGATATACGAACGAAAATAATTTTATTTTTTATTTTTTTATTTTACTTTCAAATTTTATTTTTCAATAATATATATTATAGGGCAGTACACAGGATTCGTGACAGTGAAGAGGGATCTGCTTTTGGCTCGAGGGGAGGCCCTTCGAGACTGATAGCTACGGAAAGGTATCATGTCACTGTTCAAAGCTTATGTTATGATTTATATCTTTGACCTTATGTATAAATATGATTCAATATCTTTAAAAAAAAAAGAATATAAAATCTTATTCGCTGAGCAGAGAATCATATTTATTTTAGTCAAAGTGCAAATCAGATATATGAAAAACATTAGAAAATGTATGATAAATAAGAGTTTATTGAATATAAAAAAATAAATGGGAGTGGGTGGGGGTGGAGTATGAGAAGGTGTACAATAAAAGGTACGGATCCCACAAACCAAAAGTGACAAATCAAATCAAAGGCTGAGATTCGATCATGATTTCTGTAAGGTATCTAAGGGCATAAGTGGGCTCCACGTCCCAAGATGTCATAAGATTAAGAGGAACATTGATGATACAACAAATCATTTCACATTTCTTATGGTGTTTTAGATTTAAAAAATTTATCAATTTCAATTTTGACTAAAACCCTTTTTTTACAAGAGTAACCTAACAGTAACAGACTTCAATTAGTGATAAATTCTATTTTATCTAACAATAATTTCTGTAATTTATATTCTTTATGTTAGATGCGTTTAAACGGTTTTTAGATGATTTGTTTCCAATACGTCCACCCATAATTAGCTTCCGTTGTTACATTGTATATCTATAGAAATCACCAAAAAATTGTTTTTAAATGTAATCGATCGTAACACAACACTATGAAGGTTGTAAAATTATGATTAATTATATAATTAGTTTTTATGGTCTTAACTAATACCGAATTTATAACCATTAATCCATACGTTAGTACTTCTTAAGGAGACAAGAATGCCAGAAAATGCAAATCCCGTAAAGCTGTGGAGTGATCGGCCTCTAATTAATAGTTAAAGCGTTGATTATATAATTATTTTTAACACATAAGCTGAAGTCTCTTCTAAGATGTGAGAGACGGATTTTCTTCTATTTTTTATTAACCGATTATTTTGTACAAGTCTCTGACTAATTTCGGATCAGAACCACCGTTTTACCGGTTGAATTGTCCAAGTTTGATAGAGCAAGATTTTCTCTTTAAAGATAAGTTCTTCTCCAAAAACATTTGAAGATTGAGGTGAAAAATTATGCATTTTGTATAGAATTATCTTTACAAATTTCATGCGATAGTCGATCGTTTTGAATATCAATATAAGCTTATAAAAACGTAATAATCAAATTTTATAACAAAGTATATTGAGTTTTATTATAAGCGTGCCTTTTCGTTTTTTCATTCAATATTTTAAAATAAAAAATAGAATAAATAAATCTAAAAAACGAGAGAGCGTACGCTATTTTTTTTTTTTTTGATAACCGGGTAATCCTAGGTCCAAAGGGCCCAGATTAATCCCGAACCACACGCACAACCGACACCACACGTGTGGGATGTGAAACACCCGAAGGTGGCCGGAGGAGAAATCTCCATACCCTAGGTGTTGAACCCACGACCTCTTGTTTAGGAAGTGAGCTCTCAAACCAACAGAGGGCGAGATCACTCCGTGTATAGTATGATATGAACGGACATTCATATGGACCTACATCAATATAAACGTGCGACGTGTGTAGAAAGAGAACCATAAAATCCGAAATTAAATAATAATTCCCGAGGCTACATTATTTGGTCCGTCTTTCCACCCAAGAAGACAAGACCCATTTGTTTCTTCAACGACACTCCCCATGGAAATTAATATATAAAAATATCACTGAGAATATAAAAGACAAACACCCAGAATCCTACGAGATCTGACATTGTTCTGAGGAAATAATATGGATCCTTGTAATAATCCCAACGCAGCAAGGTACCAGAGGCAGAGATCGTTCTCCGCCGCCGTCGACGGAGACGGCGACGGTGGCGGCGGAAGTTCCTCCCGAGATGTCACTGGCGACGGCGGCGACACGAAGAAGAAGAAGAAGATTCTTCACCGAGACATCGAGCGGCAAAGAAGGCAAGAAATGGCAGCCCTTTTTGCCTCTCTCCGTAATCACCTTCCTCTTGAATACATCAAGGTCCAAAAAACTTTATATACGACATGAGTTTATGTGATTTTTACCCTTTCATTTCACCTTAGAACCATATTTTATGTTTTATAAGAACAACCCTTTTGATTTGGTCAAGAAATAGTGCCACAAAGCTTAAGTCTTTATGTCTTCCAATTGCGAGCACGTTATGATTTTGTGTTTTGTCTTGGCTTATATTTGTTTACATATTACATGTATACCATCACTATAGGTTTAAGGTTTTCTTTTCTAGGGTTATAACAAGTGAAACAAATCTTTCCTGGTTTGATTTCGTAGGGAAAGAGAGCGGTTTCTGATCACGTGAACGGAGCGGTGAATTTCATCAGGGATGCTCAAAAACGAGTCAAAGAATTGAGTGCAAGAAGGGATGAGCTAAGGAGAGTGATGGGTTCGAGTCATCATGAGTCAGATCCGGATCAAGCCGGGTCCAGCGGATCGGGTCCGGCGAGTGTGATGGTGCAGCCATGCGTGAGTGGCATTGAGGTTGCCGTCAGCAGTGCCGTGACCGGTCCTGAAGCTTTGCCCCTCTCCAGAGTTCTCCAAGTTCTTTACGCACATGGCCTTGACGTTATCAGCTCTCTAACCACACGAGTCAACGAGAGGCTCATGCACACCATACAAGTCGAGGTACATTAATTATAACGTTGTCAAATACATAGAACATCTTGTTAGGTTTCAGCAATCAAGATTAGGGTTTTAATTTATTCTCACCATTTGTATGAAAACATACACACGTGTTTTTACATTCGCAGGTCAATAGCTTCGGTTGCTTAGACTTAGATTGGTTGCAGCAGAAGCTCATGGAAGAGCTCATACTCTCAAGGGGTTAAACCTAACATTCTTCTTTCATGTTCATTGTATGATTCCGGTCCATTTGCTCTTTTGTTTTTTGTTTTTTCATGCGCCTCATTGATCGATCTTCATGTAGGTTGGATGTTTTTTTACTTGGAGTAGCTAGGGTTTTTGTTGTTCTTGTGAGAAACTCTAAGTTTTCCTTCTGTTTTAGTGGAGGGATGATTTCTTTGGGAGGTGAAGTTCGAACCCTTTAGTTTGTAAAAGCTTTTGTTACATATATGATATTTTCTGATATCAGCTTCATTAGAAATGATCGACAGAGAATTGAAATTGCTTCTAAAGAACCGCTGTAATAGAAATACAAGAATACCCATGAGATGTCACATAAGGAATTGAATTCCCTCAAGACATACACATAATGTTGTTTACAATAATGATTATATATACACTTTGTTCGTGGAATGATGCAATGATCTTTTCTTTGGATAACGATATCGATCATTTAAACCCGACATAAGGTAGTTTAACTGGTTTGAACTCGGGACAAGTACGTTTTCGAGTTTGCTTTGGTGGTTCCTTGCTGTGATTCTGTCCATTCTCACATGGTCTTTCCTCAAGATTTGGAGGATTAGACGTCGGACAAAAAGCGAATGCTCCGACACAGAAAGATAAGACGCATACGATGTTGGAACAATGTAATGGAGGGAGTTTATATATATACTTCATAGAACAACTATGGTTTAAAATAGGTATAATTTCACTTTGGACTATATCTCTCGTATGCCCTTTTTTTTTTATTGACTACAAGGTGTGTTCAATTATAAAACTGATATCTTTAAATCTTGCATATTCAAACTAATCTTCTCTGTCAAGAAGGTAAATGATTGGCCTTAAAGATTAATCCATTCCAACCCTAATCTCTAGTTATAAGGAACATCTACGCTAATCCTCCCGGGTCAGAGGTTTACCTAGTCTGCACATCCGAAGGGTAGCAGTTAGAGATCCTCCGTTATAAAAAAATAAATAAATATACGCTAATCTTTAAGGTTATCTCTAGTGTATCCTTCTGTTTTTCATATCGTATTTTTTCCAAGAACATGAGGGTTTAATGATTACTCCTTTTCTATTAGAAATTACGAAGAACTTATATATTTCTAGATTTTACACAACTATATACAAACTCTTCATAATTTATATAGATTTCTTTTCAAGGGATATATTCAAATTTTCATTACATTGACATTTAGATATAAATTGCGTATAGTTAATGCATGTCTGCTGCTAATTTGTGCTTGGTCATATATATATATATATATATATATATATATATATATATGGTATAACACTTTTTTTTTGCACGAAATTAATTACTACTCGAAGGGGAAAAAAAAGAAAGGGTATTTTCCTAAAAAAGTCCTCTTAAGAGTCCTTTTATAAAAACATAATATGGAATTTGCTGTATAAAATTTTCAAAAATATATAAGCTGTACCATCAACATATATTGAATTTGTAATTCAAATCGGGAAAAAAGAGAAAAACCTAGATTCATCGGCGCAGTACTATCTTTCTATTTTTTTTCTTTTGTACGAACATTTTCTGTGAATATAATTATGAGGATAATTAATCACCTTTCTAATTTTGTAATGTCCATAATTGTTGTTAGAATATTATAATAATTAGATTTTATATAGAAACCTTAGAAGATTTTCAATCGCACGAAATCTTCTTTGCTTTGGACCAGCAAATGATACGATCGTTGGACACGATATCGTACATTGCACAAGATATTGGTTTTGGTTTTGTCTTTTTTTCCTCTTTATGCGAAAGCACACGAAACAGTATCACATAATTTCAGTTTCTTTTTTGTCAATATACATATTAATATATTTTAAAAAATTAAATACGATTAAGATGAAATAAAGCAAAGCGAATAATCAATAGTATAATCCAAACGTTTAAGCATGTAAGGATCGTGATGAGTGGTTAAGATTTCCCTAATATTCCCTTAATATCTTTAATTATTTGTTAATTAATAACTTAACAAAGATAGGCGCCCTCCAACAAATTAATTCATGATCTTCAATCGGATTATATATGTTTCAATAAAAGATCTTCCGACAATTTCTTAAATTGGGTATTTAATAACATATTGCTACTCTTCCTATCAATATTTTAAAACGAAAAAGAAATGAAATACCCATCAAATAAAAGCATCATGACCTCAAATTAAAACATAGCAATTTGACATTTATTCGGCTTTTAATGGATTAAAAGAGTATAATTGGTTGGTATTAGATAATTATAGTTGTATAATATGAATATCTAATATATATATATATATATATATATATATATATATATATATATA